AAGAGTAGGGACAAGACCCCGTTTTCAATTCAACTGCGCAGATTTGCTTGTCCCTATGTATATCCTTAACTGTGATAAAACGTGCACTGAACTAGCACCCTCAAAATATCTCGTGCCACTTAGTGCGCACTGAGTGCGCACTACGCGAGTGTCGTGCGATCAAATGAACACGTGACACTAGCCAAGTGCGCATTGGCACTGCCAATCGAACACGCTGTTGACACTGAGTGCAGCCAGTGCACCCCAATCGAAAACGCTATTAAGGATATACATAGGGACAAGCAAATCTGCACAGTTGAATTGAAAACGGGGTCTTGTCCCTACTCTTAATATCTTTTACTCTGGTTTTGTAACATTTTGTTGAACATTGCTTCAAAGTGAACAAAAATGAGTTTCAGCTTTAGCACTGAAAATCTTGGCGTATTCTTTTGAACTTGCACTATTCAATGCAACCCATGGAACTCGTCCAGTGTTGGTGTGAACTGAGTGCGCACTGGTGCGCACTAAATTTTGCCCAATCGAAAACGCTATGAGTTTCATGAATGGGTGCATCCAGAAGCACGACCGCTCACTGAGCGCTCAGTGAGCTCTTGCATCTGATTGGCATATTCTATTAGATCGAAAAATATAGACCAAACAGATACAAGAGCTCAATGAGCGCTCAATGAGCGGTCGTGCTTCTGGATGCACCTAACGCTACCCATGCACTAGAGTCCTAGATTTATCAGAGGCGCAACTGGTGTTATGCATTCTGATTCGCTGTTGCAATCTAACCAATTGCGTGACTTGGCAGCCATTTATAGTACTAGTGACATATCTCTATTTCATTTTATCCTATACATTCTATCTCATATTATCCTACACGTCTTATCTTGTTTGATATTGTTTAAAGGCAGTTTCATAGCATGTCGGCCATGTTTAGTACTCTCCTTAGCACCTTTGTCATACTGACTTAAGCCGGTTGCGCCTCTCTGATAAATCTAGGACTCTACCCATGCACTATCTCGACGGAAGCAAGAACGTTGGTAACGCAAGTTATGGCGGCAAACGCTATCGACAATGACGTCACGGATGGCATTCGTAGGCTGTGTTCCAAAATTGTTTGTCAACGCTGCGAGCATGTCGTCATAAGTGCATGCTACCAATAGTGTTCCAATTTCATAAGCATGCTTTTTATGCAAACGCAGCTTTCATTTTGGAACGATATTTTCAGTGCTGTCAGCATATAGCGACGTCAGCGAAAAGAAACAAGTA